TCCACGTCATTCGGGGACAGCGGGCACAGCCAGGCCAGCTGTGATGCACAGGCGTGCACAGGGGGCACGTGCCGCATCCCCAGGGCCGCTCTCCGTGGGTGCTGGGCAGTGGTGTCCCTCGGGTGGTCACAGCACCCCTGCTGCAGCCACCGGAAGTGTCCCCGGGGACCTTGGGGATGGCACGGGGCGTGTGCCCCGGGCTCTCGGCCCCACGCCAGAGCCCATCCCGTGGCGCCCGCCTGAGTCACCAGCTCTGAGGAAACGCTCCCTTCCCGGCCGAAAAACAACCCGGCCGGCTCCTCTCCAGTGTCCCCGGGGACCTTGGGGATGGCACGGGGCGTGTGCCCCGGGCTCTCGGCCCCACGCCAGAGCCCATCCCGTGGCGCCCGCCTGAGTCACCAGCTCTGAGGAAACGCTCCCTTCCCGGCCGAAAAACAACCCGGCCGGCTCCTCTCCACCGCCTGCCAAGGACCTCGGGAAAAGTCCCCAGGCACGGGGACAGTGCCCCTCAGCAGAGGGACTCGCAGGGGACGTGGCAGCCCGCAGCGCTGGTGCAGGGAGCCCACGGGGATGGGGACAAGGCAGCCTGGGTGTCCCTGTGCCGGGCCAAGGCACTGCCACCCCTCATGGCCCCAGGACATGGGACAGTGTCACTGAGAGACAGCAGTGCCCCTTGGCCACCAACGTTGTTTGCTTGTCACTGACAAACCGGGGTCACGTCACCTCAGGGCCAGGATCACGGCACAGCCCAGACAGGTGGCACTGGGGTGGCACAGGTGACAGGGTGGGCAAGGGATGGCACCAGGGCTGGGGTGGCACTAGGGTGGCATCAGGGACAGGGTGGGCAAGGGGTGGCACTGGGGGGTGGCAACAGGGACAGGGTGGGGAGGGGTTAGTGCTGAGGCTGGGGTGACACCAGGGTGACACCAAAGCCAGTGTGGGTGGCGAGTGATACCAAGGCCAGGGAGGCAATGGCCAGCCCTGAAATTGGGGTGGCACTGGGGCTACAGGGGCACTGAGGTGGCCAGGGGGGAAAGCAGGTGACACTGGGACTGGGATGGC